ACCTTCGCCTCCCACATCTCGCTGAGCAGCGAGAGAGCCTGCTGCCACTGCTCGCCGTTCGTCCACGCGCTGATCCCAGAGCTGTAGCTGATGACGCTTGGCTCCACCTTCGCCTCCCGCATCTCGCTGAGCAGTGGGAGAGCCTGCTGCCACTGCTCGCCGTTCGTACACGCTCTGATCCCAGGGCTGATCCCAGAGTTGTAGCTGATGGCATCTGGCTCCGATCTCACTTCCCACATCTCGCAGAGCAGCGATAGAGCCCGCTGCCACTGCTCGCCTTTCGTGCACGCGCTGATCCCAGAGCTGTAGCTGATGACATTCGGCTCCGATCTCACTTCCCACATCCCGCTGAGCAGTGATAGAGCCCGCTGCCACTGCTCTTCTTTCGCGCACGCGCTGATCCCAGAGCTATAGCTGATGGCATCTGGCTCCACCTTCGCCACCCACATCTCGCTGGGCAGTGAGAGAGCCCGCTGCCACTGCTCGCCTCTCGCGCGCGCGCTGATCCCAGAGCTGTAGCTGATGACACTTGGCTCCACCTTCGGCTCCCACATCTCGCTGAGCAGTGGGAGAGCCTGCTGCCACTGCTCGCTGTTCGCGCACGCGCTGATCCCAGAGTTGTAGCTGATGGCATCTGGCTTTAACCTCACTTCCCCAATCTTGCAGAGCAGCGATAGAGCCCGCTGCCACTGCTCGCCTTTCGTGCATGCGCTGATCCCAGAGCTGTAGCTGATGACGCTTGGCTCCACCTTCGCCTCCCGCACCTCGCTGAGCAGCGGAAGAGCCTGCTGCCACTGCTCGCCGTTCGCACACGCTCTGATCCCAGGGCTGATCCCAGAGTTGTAGCTGATGGCATCTGGCTCCGACCTCACTTCCCACATCTCGCAGAACAGCGATAGAGCCCGCTGCCACTGCTCGCCTTTCGCGCACGCGCTGATCCCAGAGCTGTAGCTGATGACATTCGGCTCCGATCTCACTTCCCGCATCCCGCTGAGCAGTGATAGAGGCCGCTGCCGCTGCTCGTCTTTCGCGCACGCGCTGATCCCAGGGCTATAGCTGATGGCATCTGGCTCCACCTTCGCCTCCCGCATCTCGCTGAGCAGCGAGAGAGCCCGCTGCCACTGCTCGCCTCTCGCGCATGCGCTGATCCCAGAACTGTAGCTGATGACGCTTGGCTCCACCTTCGCCTCCCACATCTCGCTGAGCAGCGGGAGAGCCTGCTGCCACTGCTCGCCGTTCGCGCATGCGCTGATCCCAGAGTTGTAGCTGATGGCATCTGGCTCTAACCTCACTTCCCAAATCTTGCAGAGCAGCGATAGAGCCCGCTGCCACTGCTCGCCTTTCGTGCACGCGCTGATCCCAGAGCTGTAGCTGCTGACGCTTGGCTCCACTTTCGCCTCCCAAATCTCGCAGAGCAGCGATTGAGCCCGCTGCCACTGCTCGCCGTTCGTGCACGCGCTGATCCCAGGGCTGATCCCAGAG